AGGATTTGAAATAGCTCAACTGGAATTCCATCACCTCCACTAGCTTTGTTCATAGTGATGCTTCCTAAGGCCCACTTGACTTTGCATTCCAGGATGTCTGGCTCTAGGTGAGTGAGCATACTATCATGATTATCTGGGTCATGAAGATCTTTCTTGTACAGTTCTTCTGTGTATTCTTGCCACCTCTTCTTAATATCTTCTTGCTTCTGTTAGGTCCATACCATTTCTGCCCTTTATTGTGCCCATCTTTGCATGAAATGTTCCCTTGGTATCTCTAATTTTCTTGACTAGAGCTCTAGTCCTTCCCATTCTGTTGTTTTCCTCTATTTCTTTGCATTGATCACTGAGGAAAGCTTTCTTATCTCTCCTTACTATTCTTTGGAGCTCTGCATTCAGATGGATGTATCTTTCCTTTTCTCCTTTACCTTTAGCTTCTCCTCTTTTCTCAGGCCTCTTCAGACAACCATTTTGCCTTTATGCATTTCTTTTTGATCAATGGTCTTGATCACTGCGTTCTGTACAATGTCATGAACCTCTGTCCATAGTTCGTTGGCGCTCTATCAGATCTAATCCCTTGAATCTATTTGTCACTTCCACTGTATAATCATAAGGGATTTGATTTAGGTCATACCTGAATGGTCTAGTGGTCTTCCCTTCTTTCTTCAATTTAAGTCTGAATTTTGCAATAAGGAGTTCATGATGTGAGCCACAGTTAGCTCCCAGTCTTGGTTTTGCTGACTGTATAGAGCTTCTCCATCTTCAGCTGCAAAGAATATAATCAATCTGATTTCGGTATTGACCATCTGGTGATGTCCATGTGTAGAGTCATTTCTTGTGTTGTTGGAAGAGGGTGTTTGCTCTGACCATTGTGTTCTCTGGGCAAAACTCTGTTAGCCTTTGCCCCGCTTCACTCTGTACTCCAAGGCCAAACTTGCCTGTTACTCCAGATATCTCTTGACTTTGTACTTTTGCATTCCAGTCCCCTGTGATGTAAAGGACATATCTTTTTAGTGTTAGTTCTAGAAGGTCTTGTAAGTCATCATAGAACTGTACAACTTCAGCTTCTTCAGCAATAGTGATTGGGGCATAGACTTGGATTGCTATGATATTTAATGGTTAGCCTTGGAAATGAACAGAGACCATTCTGTCATTTTTGAGATTGCACCCAAGTACTGCATTCCGGACTCTTGGTTGAATATAAGGGCTACTGCATTTCTTCTAAGGGATTCTTTCCCACAGTAGCAGAAGTCATAGTCATCAGAATTAAATTTACCCATTCCAGTCCATTTTAGTTCACCGATTCCTAAAATGTCAATGCTCACTCTTGCCATCTCCTGTTCCACACACTTCCTGTGTAGGCTAGCCTAGTGCCCGTGCTGAGTCAGTCTTCCAAAGTGTACCTGACCTTGGCCTTGGAGATACAACCTGGTTGACCACCAGGGAAAGAGGAGTTATGAGCTGTGTGTGGTTCAGATGCTGCCGGGGCCAGAGTAGCGAGAGCTGCTTGACTGACCATGGGATGGTGGCCTGTCCAGAGCTGTACAGCACCCCCACACGCTGCTTCCCTGTCATGGCACCCTCCTTCCTAAGGACAGAGCTAAGGTGACAGCACCTTGACGAAGACGAGGAAACCGCCTGCCACCCTGCCTGCCTCGTCCACCTCCCGGGCAGCCAGAGAGACTGGGCAGAGGCCGGGATACTGGGGCTGCCAGGCAGGGCTGTTGCTAACGAGAGAGTCAGGGCAGCTGCTGGTGGTCCATGTCCAGTTTGGGTGGAAAGGGAGGGGCTCCCTCCTCCAGCACCTGAGACCCCCTTGTAGCACTGCCTGAGGCCAAAGAGGTGAAATGAGTCCCATCTTCCCTGGAGGGTCTCAGCCACCCCGATGTCCAACCCTGCCTGGAGGACCTTGTGTCGTGGAGGTGGCCCTCTGCTCGTTTGCTCAGCACCGAGAAGGCCTGAGTCTTCTGCCCGGCGAAGCAGTCCTTCGGGTATTGGTTTGATTACGATGTACAGGGGCCTGTGACTGGGGATCCTGAGACAGGTGGCTGCTCTGACCCACATTAGCATCTTCAGCTACACAGGGAGCCCATTCCAGACGCCCAGGAGGTTGGAAGGACCCTCTTCAGGGGCCTCTTTGTTCCATCCAAGTCTGCCGCCTGGTCACGGCTTTGTCTGGGACGCCACGCTGCAGTCGGGCTCCAGTCCTCTGTTCTCTGGCAGAATGGTCATGACTCTGAGCTCACTGCACTCTGGATTTGTCGAGTCTTTTTCCTGCCCCAGCTTCCGTTTTCTGAGCCTCCCCTTTCATGCTTGTCAGCCATAGAATAACCACTGGGCTGTCATCTTCTCAGTTGGAGGTGGCATCTCCACCAGCGACTCAGGCTTTGTGTTCAAACTGCCCTGTCTTTTCCTGTCCAGTTCCAGAAAACCCACTCACGGCTTTGCCCGGCCTCCTCCCACGCTCTTTAGTCGAGGAGAATGCAGCACCCTTACCTGGACATGGTCCTGCCCTGGGATCGTCTCAAGACTGGGTTGCCCTTCCCAGTCAAAGAGGACCCTCATCACAAAGACCATGCTCACAGCAGCCAACCACGCTGGAGTCTCTGCTGCTGCTCTTTCTGACCGGCTGCTAGAGCATTTCCCTGTGGTTCCTTTAGTCTTGGTGGGGCAGAGCTCCTTGAGTCATTTTTCTCAAACATTTGGTTTGACAGTTTGGCCATTTCAACAGCAGAACATTCGGATTCTTGCATTTCTGGTGGAACTGGTAGTAAAGGGCAGGGGTAGGTTGTTGTTGTTTTATTGGAATATAGTTGATTTACAGGGTTATGTTATTTTCAGGTGTACATCAGAGTGATTCTGTTTTTTATTTTTATTTTTTGGCTATGCCGTGTGGTTTTTGGGATTTTAGTTTCCCAACCAGAGGTTGAACCTGTGTCCCTAACAGTGAGAGTGCAGACAGAGTCCTCACCACTGGACCACCAGGGCATTCTCAATTCAGTTATATATGTATGTGTGTATGTATATGTGTATTTTATATACATTCTTTTTCAGGTTGTTTTCCATTATAGGTTGTTACAAGGTATTGAATATAGTTCCCTATGCTGTGCTGTAAGAGCTTCCAGGTGGCTCAGTGGTAAAGAATCCACCTGCCAGTGCCGGAGATGCAGGTTTGATCCCTGCATCCAGATGACCCTCTGGAGAAGGAAATGGCAACCCACTCCAGTATTCTTGCCTAGAGAATCGCATGGACAGAGGAGCCTGGTGGGCGACAGTCAGTCCATGGGGTTGCAAAGAGTCTGACACAACTTAGTGAATAGGCTACAACTACTTTGCAGTAAATCCTTCTTCATCTATTTTATATATCGCAGTGTATATCCAGCTAATCCAAAACTCCTAATTTTTACCCCTCCCCTTCATCAATGGACATGAGTTTGAGTAAAATACGGGAGATAGTGAAGGACAGGGAAACCTGGTAAACTGCAGTCCGTGGGGTCGCAGAGTCAGACACAACTTGCTAATAGCTCTTGCCGTTTGGTCACTATAAGTTTGTTTTCTTTGTCTATGAATCTGTTTCTGGTTTGTCCATGTGTGTATGTTTCAGATTCTGTGTATGAACAATATAGTATGATACTTGTCTTTCTCTGATTTAGTGTCCTTATCTCTAGGTCCATCAATCTTGCTGCCGCTGGCATCGTTTCATTCTTCTTTAATGGCTGAGTAATATGGGAGTAGGTATTGGCTGCACCTGATGGCAGTGCGAGGTGGTGGGACGGTGCCGCATGGAGAGCTGGGATCCTTGAGTGGACCTCTGCCAGACCCTCGCAACCTAATTGTGACCTTAGACAATTCATGTCATCTCTCTGGTCTCAGCTCTTTCACTTTTTTAAAGGAAGATGTTGGACAGAAGCTTGACCTCCAGGCTTTTCTGACACCAGCCCTCAGAGAGGCTGCCCTTGTCCCAGCTCCTGGAGCACCCTTGGATCCAGGCCCAATCGTGAGGGGTGTGTCTCCATTTGTTCAAATGGCTTCCTGAGCCCTGTCCATCCCTGTCCCTTTGTGATTGTCTAGGGAGCTCTCCTGGTTCTGCTAGCTCATCTGTCTTTTGTTTCTTCTCAGATACATGATGCTAATTAATAGAAGCTGAATCATTTTGTACCAAGTAACAAAAAAATACTCCAAGCAGTCTTCAGCTCCTCCATACTCTGAAATGTGTGGAGTCATACAAGGTGGGGGCTAAAAGGCAGTGGCCACATCCTTGGCATCTTGCATTTACGACCCCCTGAGTCTCCCTAGGGGCCATGGAGAGGCCCTTCGCCCTGTCTTCCTTCCCCTGACCTTACCCCACGGTGATACTCTCAGCATATATCCCACTGAAGCCACAGCCACATCTGTCTCATCCATAGTAAGATCCCCAAGATCTAGAATGAAGCCTGGTACTTGGTCGACACTCAGTATGTGTTTCTGAATGAGTGATGAACTGCCAGCCTGCAGCTCTAAGAACGGGCCTGTCTTCCCAGGTTCGGCAGTGTGTTCCCGAGTCTCAACATGGCGGTGAAACGGCGGGAGCAGGCTTTGCAGGACTACAGAAGGCTGCAAGCCAAGGTGGAGAAGTACGAGGAGAAGGAGAAGACGGGACCGGTGCTGGCCAAACTCCACCAGGTACCAGGAAGAAGTGCTGGGGGTGGACCAGAAGCCATGTGGTCCCACACAGCAAGTTCCTGCTTCGCCAAGGGGCCAAGACACCAGATGTCCTGACACCTCTGCCCTCCCCCCACCCCACCCCACCCCACACACACGTCTTGCCCCAGTCAGGGTTCGGGTGAGCTGTGACACCCAGAGTGTTGCTCTCCAGGCCCGAGAAGAGCTTAGGCCGGTGCGGGACGACTTTGAGGCTAAGAACAAGCAGCTCCTGGATGAGATGCCACGCTTCTACAACAGCCGACTGGACTACTTCCAGCCCAGCTTTGAGTCCCTGATCAGAGCACAGGTGAGGCGGCTGCCACCCCTCCTGCCCCGGAGGATGGCCCAGCGCTGCTTCCCCTGGTGGGGAGGCGGTGGGGAGGCAGCCGTGGGCTTTGGACCAGCCCAGCCCAGCCCCACCCCACACACTTGAAGTAGGCTTAGCCACTTTCTCCCACCGCCCCCACCTGCCCCCCCCCCACTCCCCCGCACCGCCCCCTCGAGGGAGGAATCCAGGCACCTCAGGTTGTTGGCTGGAATTCCTGTTTTGGTTCCTCCATTGCTCTGTGGTTAATCCCAGCCTTGGGACGAGGTCCCCCTTGTCCATGAGTCCTTCGCTCATGTTCTGCCCACTCCTGCTCAACCACAAGGGCAGGAAGAAGCCTGCAGTGCATCACCCGGATGGGCAGGGGCCTTGTGTGGTGGGCTCAGGTCAAGATCAGAGGCCTTTTCTAAGGACCCTGCACCCCTGCCCTTCCCTGATTAGCCCTTTTGGTGGAAGACTAGGGAGTGTCTTGACCTTTAGCAAACCTGGGCAGGGTCCCTAAACCCTGGAGAGAACCACGCTCAGGACTCCCTCTGGGGCACCACTTTCGGGGGAAAGGTACGCTCACTCAGGCTGGGCTGGGGTGGCGGTGCCCTGAGGTGGCCCTGGGAGCCATCTGGGAGCCATGCCTCCTGCCACTCAAGGGTGTAAAGGCAGAGTCGCTCCTGCCCTCCTCTGCCCCACATTCTTCAAGCAGTTAGCGGGAGTTAGTCTCCCCATTTGTGAAAAGAGAAAAGGTTGAGGTGCCAAAACCAAGAGCTCTTCTATATGTGGGACACCCCGCCGCCTCCTCCCACCCCTCCACAAGGTGACTGCGCTTTCCCACCAGGTAACGAAGCTAAAGGCTCAGCATGTCCCCATCCGCCTCCAGCCCACCACCTGAGCTCCTGGCCTGGGTGTCTGGCGCCCTCCAGTGGACACTCTCATTCTTGCAGCGTCCACAGTTGCAGACACTGAGGAAAAGCCAGGTTCCTCCCCCCAGCCTATCTTGGGAGAGCCCCCAAACCCATGGGAATCATGGGATCCAGAG